GCTCTTTCAAGAACAGCTCTGAGAGAACTGTGGCTTGCCCAAGGTCATCCAGCAGCTGCGAGTGGAGGAGTGGGGAATCAAACCCGGTTCTCCAGGACTAGAGTTCTCACACTTAACCACTGCACCAAATTATTAAACTTAATATGCAGCGTCTCACCACCAAGTGGTTTCAAGGTGGCTAACTAAAATATTAACAGACATGGATTAAAAACATGACGCAAATGAAGAAGAAGAGGAGGAGGAGGAGACTAGATTTATACCTCGCCCTTCACTACCCAAAGGAGTCTCAGAGTGGCTCACAAACTCCTTTCCCTTCCCCTTCCCACAACAGACACCCTGTGAGGCAGGTGGGGCTGAGAGCGCTCTGAGAGAAACAGCTCTTTTTCAAGAACAGCTCTGAGAGAACTGTGGCTTGCCCAAGGTCATCCAGCAGCTGCATGTGGAGGCGTGGGGAATCAAACCCGGTTCTCCCAGATTAGAGTCCATGCACTTAACCACTACACCCAAACTGGCTCTCAAGAAGAAGAGGAGGAGGAGGATGGATTTCTACCCCGCCCTTCACTACCCAAGGGAGTCTCAGAGCGGCTTACAAATTCCCTTCCCTCCCCCCTCTCCACAACAGACACCCTGTGAGGTCAGCAGGGCTGAGAGAGCTCTGACGGAAACAGCTCTTTTTCAAGGACGGCTCTTATCAGAACTATGGCTTGCCCAAGGTCGTCCAGCCAGGTGCTAGTGGAGGCGTGGGGAATCAGACCCGGTTCTCCCAGATTAGAGTCCATGCACTTAACCACGACACCAAACTGATCTGGACGGCAAGCGACAGGAAACGTCGGCAGTTACCCTGTGCCAGATAGAGAATCGCCCGGGCCACTTTCAGTCTCCTGTTCCTGTCGACCACCTCCAGCCCGTCCAGCAGCTGCATCACGTAGGCCTTCTGCTTAGACGCGTCCAGCTCCGACCACCGGCCCCCCTTCACTGCATGAGAGACAAGAGCGGGAGAATGCTAAGAGGCGGTAACAGGGGAAGGCCTCAGCCTCTGTGCCCTCTTGTTGGCCCTCCAGAGCATCTCACACATAGCTGCCTTCTACTGAATCAGAACTTTGGTCCAGCACAGTCAGTACTGTCTATTCAGACTGGCAGCAGCTCTCCAGGGTCTCAGGCGGAGAAAGGTCTTTCCCATCACCTCCTGCCTGGTCCTTTTAACTGGAGATGCCGGAGACTGAACCTGGGACCTTCTGCATGCCAAGCAGATGCTCTTCCACTGAGCCACAGCCCCTCGTTACAGCTCTCCAGGGTCTCAGGCGGAGAAAGGTCTTTCCCATCACCTCCTGCCTGGTCCTTTTAACTGGAGATGCCGGAGACTGAACCTGGGACCTTCTGCATGCCAAGCAGATGCTCTTCCACTGAGCCACAGCCCCTCGTTACAGCTCTCCAGGGTCTCAGGCGGAGAAAGGTCTTTCCCATCACCTGCCTGGACCTTTTGAACTGGGGATGCCGGGGATTGACCCTGGGACCTTCTGCATGCCAGGCAGAGGCTCTGCCACTGAGCCACAGCCCCACTTCATGGCTCTCCAGGGTCTCAGGCTGAGGTCTTTCCCATCACCTCCTGCTTGGTCCTTCTTAACTGGAGATGCTGGGGATGGATCCTAAGATCTTCTGCATGCCAAGCAGCCCTCTTTACAGCTCTCCAGGGTCTGGGACCTTCTGCATGCCAAGCAGATGCTCTTCCACTGAGCCACAGCCCCTCCTTACAGCTCTCCAGGGTATGAGGCGGAGGTCTTTCCCATCACCTCCTGCCTGGTGCTTTTTAACTGGAGATGCCGGGGATTGAACCTGGGACCTTCTGCATGCCAAGCAGATGCTCTGCCACTGAGCCACAGCCCCTC